GTTATTAGTCAATTGCACGGTACAAAGTCGTTCTCGTCTCATTACACTACCTTGTAGACTGCATAGCCGGAACTGCGCTTGTTTCGAGTCAAAGGCTGTGCTGTATTGTGTCGCCGCCGGTTCAATATCTACCCAATCACAGATTCTTTACGCTGCAACTCGCTCGCCTGTGAGTCTCGGACACAGCAAATTTGAGACGAAAATCACATATCTCCAGGGCAACCCTTGATTCTCGTCTTCGTAATTATCACGTATGGCTAGGTAAGTAATGACTTGAAACTGAGGCACCAATAACATCAGTAGGGCCCATTGCTCTACTATTTACACCGTACTTTCTCTTGGAAATGATACCTCATATAAAGACAGGGCTTAGTTCGATGCTATTGATGACCTCGGTCCTCGGTCGTGTCTCGACCGTCTCGCACGTACATAATACTGAATGCTGGTAACTTAATGCATAGAGAGCCGACTCTACGCACTGTAACTGATATATTGAGGTGACTGATTATTTCTTTATAGGGAGGCAAGGATATGGTCCCGTATTTGTTTAGGTACGTAAAGGCATCGAAACCTAATCGTCGTCCGCGCGTGGATGGATCACTTACGTGGTATCAAGGAGATATTCCCCGGGATCATATGACACCATCAAAAGAAATAAACGCTGATTCTTACCTGGTCCGTTCGGGAAGTGTACATATCAGGTGCAATGATATTTTTCCGTGCATGGGTATATAGGGTTGTTTGTTTCAGGTTCAACGTGAGCACACTACCGAGGAACCCGATCAAGTTTGGGACTTAGAGGTGTTCTAGTTAAGCTTTGCTAGGTCTTGTCGGGTTGAAAATTCTACTGCCATGATATTATGTGATTTGGTTACTTTCTCCTTGTGTGACTATTAATTAGAGGGTTGTTCTATATAGTAAACAACGATATACATAGGTAGGGCCGTTATGTTTGGTTGTTGGGTTTAGTCAATACCCATAACTCACACCAGTATGAATCACGTCTTGTTGAATTTGGTCTACAGCATTAGTATCATGTATGGCTATTATTAGTTCTGCCATTGCTTTGGAGGTTGTTGATTTTTTTTAATACACTTCTATCTCAGTCTAGGGAATTAACGGTCAGGGGGGGCGATGCTGGTTGAATGATATTTGGGGCTGGAGTTGTGTTACTGAATTTATCTTGCGTTCTTAGTCATCATAATTGTTTATGTGTTGACTTATACCCGGCTAAGCAATCAAGGCAAATGATGCCAGAGATGAATTATAACGCCTTCTCTCCTTGAAAATGCTTTCTAAGTCACCTTCCAAATGATATCCACATTTCCTATAATTGGTGTGATGGGTAAGACAGATATTTGATACCATTACTCAGTCCTTACGCATCCGTGATATTCCAACCTCATCAGCGTTTAGGGTAAGTTATTTGATTTGTTTTCACTATCCGGTATTTATTGCTTGGAGCACTACAGCTAGAACAGATATGCTCTGGCTCGGTATTATTTTCATTGACTTTGGTTCCTTGCTAACTAGGGCTATTCTGCAATTGGGAGGGGTTTTGGAGTTTCCTGGTGCGTGCTGGCGCTGTCTGAATGTAAACGTCACACTTGGGACACAAGTAACAATGAACCACAAGGAGACATTTATACTACTAAACAAACCATAAGCAATGGTAACACATCAATAAGAGCGTTACATGTAACACGTAACCTCCACATAGACAATTTGAGCATTACAAAGTATGTATCAAGTGACGACCAGGCTGTTGTCAAAGCTCTAATCGAGCCTGGTTACCCTATAGAATACCATTGCATCAAAGAACACAACTACATCAAGGTACGTAGTTTCGAAGGATGCCATTGTTAGGGCAAACTCATCAGCAATATACGGAATCGATACTTTGAGGGTTAGACACTATCATTCTATCATTATCTGCCTAATATCACGACAAGAGCACCAAAGGATCACTAACACGAATGGATAGAATAGACAGGTGCATGCCTTTCGGCTGGATGTCTCCACACTACCCTATTTCCTGCCCGGGGCATTTTAAATGTTTAGGGTTCAGCCGTCTTGTTGGATTTCTCCCCGGTGGAATTGAGCAATACCCAGGGAATGGATCTGAAATGTAAAGAGAGTACCATATGTAGCTGCTAGACGGATCAAGTATCGGACATAAACAGAGTAGAATGATGTATACTCTCGCCTATGGCATTAATGGCGATTAGTTAGTATCCTAGGTCTCTTTGTCTCAGTGTTAGACTTACACTTTCATACGAGGACGCCAGAGGCACCGTGACGAAGTAAAACGACCACAACAAGACGAGTAAGACCTCCTAACAGGTTCTTTGCAAGTTGAGAAACTCGCGATAGAGGGGCTGTTGTCCTAAAAGCAACTTTCGCTCCTGATACAGTCCTTTCCAATGCAATGGATAAGGGCCTCAACTCCGCGGACAGGAAGAAGCAAAAAATACATACGGAGTAGATCTGCACCTTTAGCAAAACAGCTAGCTAGCTTTTCTGTTGCAGGAATAATAGGCGAGTCGTCGTTTAAGAGGAGGAAAGCGCTCGTTGAGGGTATTCAGAGGATTGGACAGGGGACACCCTTGCTCGCTTCAACCACTACGTATGGCAACAGAGAGGGAGCAAGAAATTGAGCGAGGCTAGAATGGTTCGCGTCAACGGGGACTTGGTTCCTTGGCCGTTTGCTAGCCATGTGGAACTCCGCGCTACGTGGTACTGAAACCGTTGATCACAGCAGTTAAGTACATATCATGCGAAGAGAGACTTATGCGAAGTGAACGCGCCTTGAAAATTCCAGCTCGAGATGAAAACATGACAATTTACTTAATCAATCAGCTTGTTCCATGTTTGCTTTGTGCCCCTTGACATTGCGTCAAAAAATGTCAGTATCGCAGGATGAGAGTGGCCCGATGCAACACAACCCCAGAGAGCCTCTGTTTCAGCACCAGGATGGAGATAAGTTACTGTGGAGTTTACAGCTATCCCTCGTTGAGCTGAACCAGCCTCCTCGAGCCACGGGTTGGCCCCTAGTTAGTGCATGGGTTTGTTACCTTATCCGACCTCCGTTTACCGTTAGGTCATCGGGTCGTTGATTTCAACGGTGGTCTATGCTTCGCCACTAAATAAATGACGACAAGGGAGGTGAGTTGCATTCCCGAATGGACGATGAGGGAGCTGATATCCGCGAAGGGATTGGGTTTGAGAATCAGAATGAGCCTCTGAGGATTAGGAGGCATGCCTAAATTGAAATGGCTCAAGAACAAGACCAGACGAAGCTCAGGCTCCTTGCGGGAATGATACCTGTGCGGCCCGTAAGGTTAGTGCTCTAACCGTTATCTTAAACATAAACTGGCAGATCACGGATACCATACCTGGAGGAGCAAAGTGATGTGATATGTGCAAATGGAGACCATATGCATGATGCTAGGAAAGGGGGCATGAACATTGTTCCTAGACTACCTAGTAGGTAAGGTCTTGGAGGTTACTCTGCGCTCTATACCTATGCGCGTGGTAGGCTGTGCTCCAGAAACTGCCGAGTGTGCCTGAAAGCAGCAGATGGTTTGTCGGTTACTGTGTACTGCAACACAACATCAAATGTCAATGTCAATAAACGACGGCGTCTAGGTTCGCTGCAGGCTCAGGGAACATGCCCTCAAAGTCTCATTTGCAGATCCAACAAATGAACGTCCCCTTGTCCCTTGCCCCTTGTTCCTTGTCAGAAAAGACCAGGCTTGTTGATGTGCTTGGGCTGCTGCAAGCCAGAAAGATGGTTCCGGTCTCGTTTGTGCGAGAACTGCATCCACTGACTGATTCCACTCTGCTTACCAGGGTTCGCAGATTCAAGCGAGTCAATGAAGCACGCACGCATGCACGCAAACGATGATATGGTGGTGCTGCTGATATGGATGTTTCAGCAATTGGTGACCATGGCTGCATTTGAAGATGTGATTGAGGCCTTTCCTTCTTAATAGCCCATCATATAAACAAAGTTTCTACCACTCATCGGCAGTGTTTTATATCCATGACAAGGTGGCCAAGAGTTTAACCGTGTGCCTTCATCCTTTAAATCTCTGCTGTTGAGTAGGTCCCCTGTTAAGTTTGGTTACTATCCAACTGTTGGATCGAAAAAGGGACCGTCCCGTCCATCCTGGATCTTAAAGCCCTTGTCGACGTCTTGGTCCTCTCGTCCCCTCTCGCCTCGGCTTCTGGCGAGGCCAAACTACTAATTATTCAAACATTTAGAAACTCCTCTTCTTCTTTGCCTCGCCTTTGCCTTGCTCTACCTACCTACCTTTTCTCCCGGTTTGGTCCTATTCTCATTCTCAGTCTTTTCCTCAATCCCAATGCTCTTGGACGGACACGTCGTCTGGGTTCCCATCGTCTTCCTCTTTATTGGGCAGCTTGGGCATACTCGTCCCCTCACCTACACCGACTTCATCTTCTTTCTTTCCTTGTGTCTGCCAACATCACTCTCTTACTTAATTCCCGCGGTTTCAGCTCACATCATAATATCGTATTAGCAACCTAAACCCTCGGCTCCTCTCATTCTTTCAATCTCTGCACACTTCACTTCCCCAGGTTTCCTCGACGACGTTTCTTTGATCCTTTTCGCCCGTTTCGGAGGAACCCGTTTCGCACGCTCCAAGGACGCCGCCCTGACGACCAACCACCAAAATCTAAGGTCTCTCGAGTCATAGGCATTCGAGTGTTTCAGCCCATTGTTCTTTTCTAGGAGACGACCCAAAAACCGAGACGACCACTGCCGCATGCAATCATTGTAATAACTAATACGTGACGACTTGGGCATTTTCTCAGTTAAAAGGGCTTCTCAACTCATCAGGATATACTGTGCGAGATCAATCCTCCTCAACGAAATCCTCCTACCACGAACCTGCGAGACTTTTCGCAGTCCACTGACGTCGTATCTGTCTGCAAGCACTTGCTGGGATGCTCTTAATGCTCCGGCGGCCGAGACCATGACTGTAAAAGGCGGTTTCACCAGTGCGGGCCAGCCAGGCCCTGACAGTCAGCATCAGCATCAGGAGCCTGCGTCTGGGAATATGCCTTTCCCTATGGCCACAGCTGATCTCCAATCTGACGCTTCCTCATCTACTGTCATTGCCCACGCAGACTCGCACCGGCAAAGCCACAGTTCTTCCAAGTTGCCTGCTTTCCGCTTCACTGACCGGCGAAGCAGTAGCTGTGGAAGCGTGCCCCTAGCTAATAGGGGTGACCCCCTGTCCCTTAGCAGCAGCAACCAGCACAGCAATAACAGAAACCAAAATCTCGATTCGAGAAACAATAACAAGGACGACCGCACCAGCGATTATCTTGACCACAAACCAGCTACATCCGCAACAGCAACGGCATCAGCCTCAACACCAACCTCACCACTCGCCAATACTTTGGATAGCGCATCAGCGGCGCTTCCTCTACAGTCTTCAATTGTGCCGTCGATTGTCTCACCCAATTCAGACCCCAGCACTATTACTCCGACTGTCTCAGTAGCCCCGACCACAACACCACCTGCATCAGCAGACCCAGGCCCAGTCTCCCCCCCGAGCGCTGCTGTTAGTGGACCATTGACAGCGCCGGACCCCGGCACAGCACCAGCAACTCTCGCGACGACCCATTCTCACACTTCTCACCCGACAACGCATCACCGCGACGAAAAACACGCTGTCTCTGCATTAACATCTGCGTCTGCGCCTGCATCTGCATCTGCGCCCACAGACCCATCGACGAACACGGCAAACTCATTCTCGCAGCCTAACGAATCCGACACAACGCTGCTCTCACAAAACAATTCCAGGACGTCCTCGGTTCATCCATCGTCATCGGTGATCCAACTCTCGCCTGGGGTTAAGCGTCCCGCATCTTTTGACGTACATGCACCTGACGCGATCTCCCCGCACCCTGCTCCTCCAACCTCCAAGTCTCGGACTCGGCGACCACTGGTGTCGCGAAGATCGACTGCTGGCACCTCTTCCACTGGCCCGCCACCTTCTTTGAACTCTGAGCGCCTGCAAGCCATCGAAGCCGCCCAGGAAGGTCAATCCACTTTGCCCTCCTCAAGTGACAATTCACCCCAGCAATCGCCATCTGGCCAACGCGAATTAATTTTGCCCAAAACGCTGTCCAGAACCAACTCAGATGAGAGGCGAGCATCTGCCTCCCATCGCCCTCCCGTTTCATACCGACCGCCTCTCACCTCCAAGAGTAGCACTGAATCGTCGCCGTCAACCGCTGTTCGTGTTCCCCCAATTCGATCTTTCCGATCTTCAGGCTCCCGTAAGAGCCTCACTCTCGATATGAATTCGAGGCCGCGCTTCCACGACTCTGGCGACGAAGTCGAAGACGCCAATCATGACCGTACCCTGCGCGCCTTGGAGGGCAGGGGTAATGACGATGCACTTCGGTCAGCTCCTTTAGCCTCAAGCCGCCGTGGCGCCTTCGACAATGAAGATACCGGCGACGTTTTCCTTAAGATTGCCAGGGAGGAAACTTCCCAGCGTCAAACAGATGAGCAATCCCAAGACGATACCCGCAGCGTACTGGTAAGTTACCCCCTTCTATCGCCTCTTACTGTCTTCCTCGCCATTTTTTATGATGCCGGCCACGCGCTGTGCATGGCGCATGGTCACTCGGGCTGCGCGGAACTTCTTCAGGATCCACCACGTGCTCCATTGCTTGTTTCTAAAGATATAACTCGACTTTGACCTGTCCCAGCTCTGAGGCTAACCTGCATAGTCCCGAGCGACGCGATTTACGCATCGAAGACCTTTATCCTCAGTAGTCCCTATACATCAGCCTATTTCGCCTCCTAGGGTTCGGCGCCGGCTTTCTGATCAACAAGACACTGCGAGGTCACGGTCAAAAGGCTACGAAGACGACCGGCCCACTGAAGTTTCTCGCATGTCAACTTATCGCACGCTGCCACGAGAAAAAGCAGCATCAGCACATCCTGGAGAAGATACAGGACGTATGCGAGGCTCGACCTCAACCATGCGCCCGTCCCCCGTCACACCTCGATCGATAGTTTTTCAGGAACCTAGTTCCGAAAACTCCATGTATTCTCGCCGGAGATCCTCCATCACGGACAACAATGTAAGTGGACAAAATCGAGGCTCTGCGTACAAATTCATGGGCCATGGTCACAACAAGACTTATAATTCCTCCCCTCTGGTCCGGTCATTCGATTTCCAGCGTCAAGCAAATCAGGAGGCTGGCAACGGGGCTGAGGGAACGGAATCGACTTTATCAAATACAGCCCCCTCCACGGTATGGGATGAACTAGACGACCTCAAATCAAGAATACATCGACTGGAACTGACTGGTAAGCTGCCTTCGACTTCCGGCGCCGCAGTATCGAGATTATCAGACGACCGACCGCCAACGGCGACTACTACAGCAACGACTATGTCTTCTTCCCCCAAGCGAGTTGAGAATGGCCGTCAGAACACGAATGCCGACGCCGTTAGCACCACGTCCTCCCACCGAGAGTCACATTCCATCCTTCAATCCGCTCTTGCTAAGTCCAAGGTTCTACTCGACACGGAAGTTTACCAGGCCTTGGAGTCTGCTGCTCACGATGCCATGGCCCTCGCTTCCATGATGGGAACGCCCGGCCTACCTGGACCCATTTCTAGCGGCGCCAGCACGATAGGCTCTAACGCAACTGTTACTGATCGCCAACTGAGACGAAAGGCCGAGAGTGTGTGTCGCAGCTTAACAGAGCTTTGCCTCGCATTGGGTGAGGACGCTACCCAGACACGTATACCGCGGCAGTCAATTGAAGTCCCACCACTTCCTCAGAATGACGCGCCCACTACACCGACGATTGGTAAAATCTTTAGTGGCTTTTCTCAACGCCGACAGAGCATTGGGAGAAACGATCCGAGTGCCACCAAGGAACATCTTACCAGCCCCAGAACTCTGTCCAAATTTGAAGAGAGGAGACTCAACATTCTCAATGGTAGTTCTCTACCTACTACTTCACGTGTGTCCAACTCGATACCATCGACACCGATCGAGCCGATGTCGAACCGACGCTCTTCTCTTTTGGTTTCTCGATCTCGCCGTGCTGGTACCGAAGAACCCGATGAAGGCAGGAAGTCATCGCTTCTACTAAGAACCAGAAGAGCTGGTACTGAGGAGCCTGATGAAGGCCGCAGAACATCTCTATTCGTCCGCAATCGTAGAAACACAGTCGGCGAAGAGGGCGAGGAAGAATCAAGGTTCCGAGCGCCTTCTCGAGCACCTACTGAGCTTGGCAGTACGATTCGAGTTGTGACGCAGGATCAAACGCCACAGCAGCAGCAGCAATACTCACCGTCAGCTGATACTACATCTGCCATCCCGCGCCGGCGCTTTGTTTCGTCGAACCTCGGTGTGTCTAGGCTGGCGACGCCATCAGTTAACACAGCAACACCGCCTCGGAGATACATGGAGAGACCGGCACAGCAAGACCACGGTCATAACGCTGTCGACAAACTTGCTGAAGAGCGTGCACAACGCTACACCTCTCTTGGGCAAACAACCATGGTCAATCGTACCAGCAGTATGATCAGAAGACCCAAACGGGACAGCATTGCGTCCGCCAATCCTTCTGCAGCTGCTGGCAGCTACAGATGATGCGAATGACCAATGACTTTGATTGATTTAACGACTGTACAACTACCCATACATTACGTTTCGAGCGCCGGACGTTGCTATTTATATACTTTTATGTTTGCACGGAAACAGCTTATTTTTCCTGCTCCCTCCATTGATTCTCATTCGGCTCGGCCGAAAGATTCATGGCGATTGTTGGGGACGACGAATTACATTGTCGTTCTTGTTTGACGTACATACACTGTCTATAGACAAGCTCATTTTGCTTGAGAGGACAGCATCTTTCCAGGGAGGACAATGTTATGGTGTTTGGGAGGAGGTTTGCTTTGTGAAAACGGCGCACGAGGAGCGACCATACAAGAAACAAGACAGAGCCTGGGCTTTATATCTGTCTTGTATCGGGTTGGCAGTCAAGAAGACATCAGGATAAGCATGTGGATACCGATTTATTTTAATGTATGATGCGGCTTGGTCGCGTATGACGGCTCTTTGTTACCCTCTCTTTGACTTTGACCTTGGTGATGTCGTTATGAGAGGCTTGTGAGTGAGTTTAAACAAACGGATGCATGCCATTTATTTGTTTGGTAGCAGTACCAAAGTTTAATCAATACCTTGGTGCCAGAGTGCCTGACGGATCTGGAGTCTGTCAAACGACTCCATGAGTATGTTGATACTCGCTGCAATTGGTTTGTTTGGAGGCTACATGGACACGGATGAAGTTAATGTAGGCTTTTAGCATGCCCCCTATGTAACTAACGTGGAGGCTGAGTCAGGCCGAAACGGGAGATGCAGGTGAGGCAATGCCATCTAGTTATAAGGTCGGCCCCACTGGATTCTCGCAAGAATTCACATCTTCGAGTGAGTGACTGGAACTCCAACTCATGTCTTCTGTCGCAACACCTAAAATATTAAAAAGAAGCATTTCCCCTCTCATCTTTTCGACTTCTATCAAACCACGTTTTCTCCCTCGGAACCGTTTCAGTGCACATCAACCACTTCGTCACACCTTTTTTGCACAACGCAAACACGGCATCATGGCTGACGAGGCTCATTTCGATGTTGAGGACAAGATGCAGAATAGACCCCCAAGATCAAGAGGTGACAGGGGACGAGGGAAAGGCGGTGGTGGACATGGAAGAGAGGTCCAGGTGTCGAAGGCCTTATCCAAGCTCTTGAGACATCAAGCAGCTAATGCTGGCATTCAACTCGACGATGAAGGCTATGCGCCCTTGGATGCTGTGGTACGGGGGAACCAAACACATCTTGAATATTCCTCCTGCGGACAAGACTTGCTAACTCTCCCATGCAGCTTGCCTGGGGCCCTTTGCGATCTTTAAAGGTCACGTTTGACGACATCCAGTCCATTGTCACTTCCAACGACAAGCAACGGTTTACACTCAAGCCCAACCCCGTCAAGAACCCTTCCCTAGACACCAAATCCACTACACCAGCCGATTATCTCATCCGTGCCAACCAAGGTCACTCCATTAAGCTTGAGTCAGCAGCTCTTTTGGCCCCCATTACACTAGAGGGCGATAACGTCCCGGAGCGAGTCCTTCACGGATCCTTCTTTTACTTCTGGCCACGCATCGTCGAGTCCGGCGGCCTCAAACCCATGAGTCGTAATCATGTCCACTGCTCAACTGGAACGCCCGAGGAAGGCGTTGTCAGCGGGATGCGTAAGGATGCAGAGCTGATTATCGAGATCGATGTTGAAGCAAGCTTGAAGGATGGCGTGAAGTGGTGGCTGAGTGACAATGGAGTTTTGCTGACGGAAGGCGACGAGCAGGGGGTTTTGAGCACCAAGTACTTCAAGTTGGTGACAGGCCGCAAGGTTGATGTTGGGGTACTGTGGCAAGACGGTCAGTGGATTTCTGATCTGCCAGCTGGCTTGAAGATAAGTCCTCCGCCTGGAAAGGGTCCTCGACAGGGTGGAGGAAGAGGGGGAAGGGGTGGTAGACGCTGAGGCTCGTAGAAATTAGAAATCATCCCAAAAGCGTCTGATTCATGGAGACAATTTGATAAGCCGGCATACTAGGTCTATCTTGATGCACGCAGTCGTCACTGGGGAAAGAAAGAATTATTGCAATGATTCAACGACATCGACTTGGTTGACTCTTCATTTTAATCAACCCGATTCGGCCTATCGCCTAGCTAGGAGCAAAAGAACTCATAATGCATCGGCACTCAGCCATAGCAGACCAGCCTTGGTGCAACAAGCCTAATAAACTTGGCTCGTTGAATCTATATCCATTGCGGTTTTGAACCCCGAACCTAAGTGGCAAGACCGTGGAAGTGAGTCATAAAGCACAGCTCAGGAGGTCGAGTCCATGAGGTTCGAATATTGTTCGCCTCTGTTCTTCTCTTCCTTCTCCAGCCACTCAAGCACCTTTTGCGCGACCAAGATCTCAGCTTTCTGTCTTCCCACAACCCCTTCAACAACACCCATGTTCTCCGGAATCCGCCCATCATGCCTGAAAATAGGACGTCCTTTCCAAGTATCTTCTTGTTCGTTGTCTTGTTCGATATAGTACTCAGGAATACCGAAGCCCATGCGCTCACCGAGACCAGCGACACGCTCACGAACGGTAGGGCCCTGGGTGTTGGTGCCAGAAGTCAAAGGAGCACTAGTTGGGACGCTGTGATCACCTGAACGAAGAGGTGTAGCCATGGAGACACCGCCATCCGAGTTGTTCCCCTCCGTCTTGATCCTAGCATGCGCAGGAGACTCTTGTGATCTGGAAGGGGCTCTCTTGCTGCCTCGAGGCACTGGCTCTTCCATGCGGAGGTACTTGAGTGCATGCATAGCTGCAAAGTTTTTAGCTTTTTGAACCTTTTTGAATGTCGGAATCTGTTGGCCAGTTTCGTAGCCACGGCCTTCCTGAGGAAACTTGATGTTTTCAGAAGGAAGATTGCAGAAGACACGGGATCGCGGAAAATGCATCCCGTAGACTTGTTGATTGAAGGTCTCTTGAGTGAACTGAGGGGTTGGGATTTTGTTCTGCTGACAGTACTCTAGTAAATGATCATGGTTAGGATTTTGACATGAAGGATGACGTTCACGTTTGGCGGGGAAACTGACGATTCAAGTCGCTAACCCAGAAATCTTCCACTTCAATCTCATGAACAAGCTCGATGAGTTGCGAGATGGCGGCGATCTGCTGCTTGTTAAGCTGTGCAAGATGGCCCGTCTTTGCTTCTTCGGCCTTTTTCTCCTCAGCGAACTTTATGAGTTCATCCCAAGGGATACCACCACTGATAGTTGAAGGGCCGTGAAACGCCATTGTGCTTTGGGGGTATTTTTGGTGGATGCAGTGTTTGGGTGCTGAAGGTGTGGCTAAGCGGAGTGTGATGAAATGTCAAACGTTGAGATGAGATGATGGAGGGAGGTGAGGAGCTCGATTGATTACATGAAGCAAAGGAGGAAAGGTGGATAGCTGGATCTGCAATTTATAGCTGTGATTCATGACCTGGCGAAGCCTTGCGGTTATGAAGAATGGATGGATGCCTCTTGGAATATCGCAAAAGCGAAGTCAGTACATACAGTGGCTTTCGAGAAGGCGACCAGCCCTCATTGACAGAACAGCTTAGATCGACTGGCTTTAACTGGTATTTCCGAGTTGACTGGGTTGCTATGCGCATTCAATCCGCATCATTTCAAGAGTGACACGCTTACAATGTGATCATGGAGTTAGTGAGGTGTTGAGGTGGTGAACGTGGTGATAGTGGCTGTGAGGGGTCTATTTTTCTGGCCAACTATAAGGTAGTGGAGGTGCGTCAATCGAAACACACAGAGGGAGGACCTGACCTGACCTGACCTAACCTGACCTGAGACAGACCCAGGCTCTGGAAACCCAAACTTAACAACGTTTGATTGATGGTGTCGGTTATGCTATAGATATGTCCAATAACGGTTGACCCATCAGCGTCGCAGGGTATCTACCAACACCTGATGCAATATGTAAAAACTCTCTCTAACCAACACCCTTCTAGCCTCCTCCCCACGGCGTACCTAATCCTCTTCAAAGAAACCACCCTCGTCGCTATCATCGTCGTCACTCTTGGCGACTGGCTGTGCAACCTGACGCTCTTGTAATCTGCGTTCTCTGCGGTTCTTTGGAGCGGCAGCAGCTTTCCCCTTGACCTTGGTGAAAGGTGCAGGGTTTTCCTTCGCGGCCTGTGGTTTTGGCTGCGCCTTGAGAGCACCGTCTGTGATCGTTGCCTGGGGCTTTTTCTGGCGGCGCTCTGACTGTGCTTCTTCTGTAAGCTCAGTTGGCCGTCTCTCTCTTAAATTTCGCAACGCGTGGGGGCCACCCTTCATCGCCTGTTCAATATCCGACCAGATTGGCGGCCGCTCTGTATGCAGTAGACCCCTGTGCTTGAGTGGTGCGTAGTCAAGCTTATCGTCGTCTTTATCTTCGTCTTCCTTCTCTGACTTGGCGCTGGTGTACAGACTGATGTAGGGTTCAGCATGGGGAAAGTGTTGTGTGTACGCCTCGTCTACTTCGGCAACATGCAAGTCACGCTCCAATGCCTCGATCTCGTCCGTTTCTGTAGATTCGGTCTCTGTAATCTTTTTGCGCAGTTGCTTTGCTAATCGCGATGCCTTCTTTCGTTCTGAGTCGCGCCTTATTAGCATTCTTTTCGAGCGGACAATGACGACCAGAGAATATCTCACCAAAGAATCGAACCATGTGATATTTCGATATCATAGCACTTCGTAGCTTCTGGAAGCTCTTGTCTGAGACTGTCGCCTTGAGAGCGCCCAGCTCTCGCTCGAGATCATTGCGCACGTTGGCGGGAAGTTCTTGGTTTCGGTTCAGGAGTCGCTCGATAGTGCGCGTTCGCTTCTTGGCCCATGTTGAAGTTCCCTCGTTCGGTCGATGCTTTGACTTGCTCGACTTGTGTTTCTTTGCACCATTGAGTGATGGACGGTTGCGAGGCTCAGGAGACTCAATCTCCGAATATTCTCTCTTTTGCCCCATGGTGACTATATATGGCTCGCGCGAGGATATGCAAGGAAAAAGAGGTGGGATTGCGAAGAGAATGTTCAAAAGGGATTCCAGGTAAAGGTTGAATAATAGGTACTAAGCAATTCCATGCAAGATGGTCAACTTTTTTTTCCCCTACCTACCTGCCTAGGTATCTCACCCTCGGGGAGCAAGAAAACACCGGACCTTGATCTAGGGTGTCAAAATAAATTTATCAAAGATCCCCTAAACCTAGGCTAAATTTACCCAAGTATTTTTATCGCTTAGGGTCAAGGTTTTGTGTTTTCTTTCCCCCTCACCTTTCCTAACCGGGGACTTGCGGTGCCTATCTTATCAGGTCCGTCTCAATTCGGGGTAGCGTCAGACGCTCGGGCTAGTGGGGAAGGGAAGGTGCTCTGTGTTCCTGAGAGGCACCTGGCAGAGAGCTCCGTCATCTAAGCTCGACACCATCGAATCCAAAACCAACCACTATCTTCTTTACATATCAAGAACGTTTCCCTTTGATGTCTATAGCATCCAAATATCCAAAGGGAAAGCTCTGATATAAAAAAAAAACCTTCTTTGTAAAATTTATTATCCAGCCGTCCTCAAGAGTCTGGCACGGAATTTTGTCGTTCGACTCATCCATCGCCAGAATTCATCTTTGAGCTAGAGTCGCCGCCAAGCTCCTTTCTTGAAGATTCAATAAACTCAACTACCAGGAGATTTAACCACGGATTGATGCTTATGTAAAAAGCCCGTCGCTGGGCTAATTCTCCTTCATCATGGATCGCCCTGAACCTGGGCTCGTCAAATGGTCGTCCAACCCTTCATATGATAACTTCATTCACATCAACCTTCAGCACCGCGTTGTTCAGGTCTACGAACCAACTGGTCACGCAAGAGCTGGGAAGTTCAACTATCAGAAACTCGCCCGCCATGATGACTTTCCTCCCCTCACAACCTACGATTGGTCGCCAACCAATCCCGGTCTTCTTGCCGTTGGTACTGGTAGTGGCATTGTGAATTTACTCAGGATCGACGATGGATCTAATGCGTACGTGGAGCTGGGCCTCAAGATGTCTCGCACTTGCCAAGCCGTCGCTTTCAACACAACCGGATTGCTAGCAGTTGGCCTGGACAGAGTGCGAATGGATCAATGTCTTCACATCTGGGATGTCAGTCGATTGTCTTCAATAGACAAGAACACAAAAGGGTTTCCTTCGGATGCAACAAGTATTGCTGAACCAAAAACCCGTCTTGAACCTAGCGTCTCTGTGTCAAGCATCAAATTCTTCGAAGACAGCCCCCAAACTCTTGTTGTGGGCATTAAGGCTCAGGGTCTTCGAATACATGACCTTCGAGGTAGGTTTCAAAGATGGAAAGGATTTTCTTGCGCAAACTGACATATATTTGCTTCTTATCAGACCCTTCAAGCATTGTCACATTTCAAACCAAGTGCAACAATAACCTTACAATTGACTATGCTGATCAGAATTATTTTGCCTCGTCTGCCCTGGACCACCCTGGAGTAATGATCTGGGATCGCCGAGCGACATCTCGACCTGTGGCTTCTCATGCATACATGCAAGCAATTGAGGAGGATGAACTCCCTTGGGGTGGAGCATTGCGTCTTGACCGAGTGATCGAGACTGATTCCGACCCTTTCTTGGCTGAGGGAAAGTACTCCCTTGTTCGATCACTTCGATATTGCCGTGATCATCGTGGTTTGCTTGCTGTGCTATCTCGTACGGGACAACTCAAGGTCTTGAACACCAATAAAGAGGCCCCATCTTCTGGGTCCGGCAACCCAGAACTTCTCCAAGTTCAAAAGTCTTATGAGATGGACGTCTCATACGTCGAAACATCAAGGAAGAATGATAGAATTGTCGCTTTTGACTGGGTAACATTGAGCTCGCCCGTACTTCGTCCACGGCTCCTCGTTCTACGAGCCAATGGAAACTTTGAAATCCTTGAACAACCATCGCAAACATCA